GAGAGAGAAAGAAAGAGAGAGAGAGAGAGAGAGAGAGAGAGAAAGAGAGAGAGAGAGAGAGCAAGGCGAGAAGGATATTCTTCCTTAATTAAAACTCACGCGACTTAGTCCGCCGAGTTTGTGAGTTTAACGTCGGTACAATATAACCGTAGTAAAAGAAGGATAGGTGTGCAAAGTTATGGCCCCTGCAAAGGTAACTACGTGCACGCAAAACTTGTTACTTTCCGCGGTGCAGGGATGTTGACGAGAGCATAGAGAGTACAGAGTTTCATTTTAAAAATTAATCGAGATTCCAAGGCGAAAATTGTGGTACTCTGGACTTTTTCAACTCTCTTCCTTTCCGATTTCTTCGAGTTTTATCTGTTAGAAATCTTGAAAGCTGCTGCACATGCGTCAAACATTTACTTTTAAATTAATTCATATTATTTATACTTTATATTTCGCGAACTTATAACAGGTAAACGATGCTATAAGGTAATATATACAGGTAAACCTCCGATTTGCTAAAGTGAAGTTAAATGAATACGGGAGGGTGATAGGAGCCAATATCCGAGATATTTATTGCGGGGAGCGGTTAAAGGTAAGGGTAAGAAGCGGGCCGAGAGTTCGGTGTCACCTTTAATATTTTGTAATAAATTGCTAACTTTCCATAGGACTTCCGACCCTGCCAGGCTAATCTCTATAAGAGCAAAGTCGCGAGGCTTCAAAAGTTCGACGGACGAACTTGCTGTTTAGCGCTTTATACTTGGGTGATAGTCTCGGGACACCGCCGCCTTCAAACCTTTTCAGGTTTCATCCCGTCTTTAATCTCGGGATAAGGAAGAGTCTCCCCGAAAGGAAACCGCCGCGACGGAAACCTTCGAGTAGCTTGTTTTACGAGAGAGGTCGACTTCTTTCCCCTTTGCTTTATTGGTATAGTGGACTCGGGGCCGAAAAATTAATGAATTAAGATGAACGACTTGAGTTATACAAGTCATATGTCATATAAGTCGAATTAAATTAGTATTTTTCATATAGCTTTAGTCTTTTCTTACTCAAATTATATCGCATAGAAATATACTAAAACCACAAATTAAATTGTAAAGAAATATTTTGTTGTGTATTATAACTTATAATGTCTAAATTAATTAAATATGTACAAATATATCTTGAGATTACATACACACACACTCATCGATCTTTATTATACTCCTAGTTTATCATTAATCCAACATCGAACGTTAGACACGTCGATATTGGCACTATGTATGTGATCGATTAGCCAGGACGTGTCATCTCATAAGTCACGTGCGAAAAGCTGGTCAGCCTTGCTTTGTAATCTTCGCGTAATCTATTTAAGCTCGTTATTTCACGTCGTCGCATCTCACCAGCCCATAACGAGTTTCTCGTCCTATGATTCTGTACAGGGTGTTTACGCAGCTTCCGTACAAGACTTTTGAAAGGATTTTTTGAAGACGATTTCAGAGCAAAAGTTCGATTTAGTATAATTTTTAACTCTTTCATATTTGTCTTCTTGTTTAGTATGAAAATTATTTCTACTGTGTTATAAATTATCCAAAATAAATAATTTACACATTTGTGTTTATTTCTTATAAAAATTTTAATAAAATGCGTGTAATTATGTTGCATTTTCAAAAAGTAATGACAAAAAAATTAACAATCTCGTGCTATTCTTAAAATCTTCTTAAAATCGTATAATATTTTTAAGAAAATATATCTAGCAAAATTCAAAATATGTCAGAATTATATCAAGCTTGTCGCAAAGCTTATGAAACATCTTGTAGGCGTTTATAATGCCCGGTGTTATGAAAAGACGGCAGCGTCCACCCGTGTCAAGTGTCACCGTTCATCTCGCAAACGGGATATAAACCGACGGTCGTCGTGGCTTTACGAGCCTTCAACGCGCCAGGCAAAAAGGAAAAGAAAATACAAAGGGATCTCTGATTTAATTACGAACAATGGTGCCCGTAACAAGCGCGTGGAGTCGCGGATCAACGAAATTTGTGTGCGATAGATTGTTCGGGAATTTATTCGCGACATTGCTGCCACGATACGTGGCGGTTGTTCTAATTTCAGTGCATTCCATGTCGACAAGTTTCTTTCACCATTTTAATTAAAGATATGTCTCCTGACGTCCAACTGATTTAATAAAAGAGTCGTTCCAGCATTCCCGTATACTATGTTTTCTTTTGTATTTGTTACGGAAATCATTTTTTCTGGTCTCTAGATTTTGGGATTAATTGCCTTTAAATCTTCAGGGGATTCAATTTTCAGAAAATGAGAGATACTTCAAAATGTATTAAATTATAATTATTTTTGAGTTCACTTAAAGTTCTCTTTCAGAATTTTAAAATTCTGAAATTCCAATTTTAATTATCGCAAATATAATGAGACTACTTTAGAGAAAATTAATAGAAAATGAATTTTGGGACATTTACTTCAAAAAGATTAAGATAAAAAGCACAAGATCCGATGATACAATTTTTTAATGATACTATATAAAAGAATCGAGTTTTTTCAAAGAATAAAATTTGTAAAGTAATTATAACATAAATAAGAGTCGAAAGCGAAGTCTTAAAATTGGTACGAAGGTTAACCGATGCTAGGAGCGAAGCACGTTTATATGGGAATTAAGGGGTAGCTACAAAGGAGGAGGGAAAGCAGGGGAGGGGGCAAAAACTATTGCGAAGTAGATAGAGAACGATGCGGTGAGGGCGGATAGAAGAACAAAGGCGGAATACCGTAGACGTAAAACAACGACCACTCGAATCGACGATTGCTGTTTTCGTTTCGCTTGGGAAACCCCGCCCCTCTCATCCCCCGGAGTTGCCGGAAATCGAAGATTAAACCGAATCGAGGGAACAAAAGATTATTGAATTTCTCCGCTGTGTAAAATTCGAAACAGACTCATCGATAATGCTCGACGTTTTTCAAATTGCGCCCAGCTATATCCGTTGTTATCATCCTGTTTTATTACATTTTGCGAGACTGCATCGGAGAGGGAGAAACAAATACTTGCGATTAGATTCAAAAATATAGCAAAAGAGTTGTATAAAATGGGGCTTTTAATACATCATTATTTGCAATAGAATTTAAATAATGATATTACATTGATGTAAAGTTTATCTCTCTTAAAACTGTAAAATATCCTAAAAGCGTAATAATGTTTTTAATAGTACTAAGAATCAAGGATATATATCTCTCTCTCCCTCTGTCTTTTAAAAAATTTATAGTTTCCGGTAATAACGTTTAAATAAATGCGAGGATGAATTCGAGTGTTTTAACGATGCAGATTCTAGTGAGCATGCTGGATATAATGTATTGATATCTCTGGTGAGGATCCCATTTTCCCGGGACGCGAGCTTTCAGCCGGTTTTTACTCGGGCGAGATAAGAAAGGCGAAGGTATATATAAAAAAAAAGGTAAAATTAATCACTTGAGAAGGAAAGCACTCGCCCTTCTGCTCCATTTTCGCGGCACATTTTTCTCGGATCACGCGCGTACGTCTCGGAGAATCGACTCGAGTCGACTCGGGCAACGTGGAATGCAGGCTATTGGTTCAATGTGATTTTTCACCAGACTTTTCGATGAAAAATGGCGAGAGCACACCTTACGCCGTGTCTCTCATGGCTGTGCGATCACGATAAAAATCTGTGTCCAAGTCAGATCCGGTTCTACGAAACGCGAGTTTGTTGAGAAATAGTCAGCATACATATTTCATTGTTACAACATAATGATGGGTATTCTTGAAGAGATCGATAAAATCATGCCTTAGATTATTTTTACTTTATAAGCGAGTCATCCTACGAATTTCTATTATTAACATTTATGTATTGATATTTTATATATTTATTTTATGTATATATATTAATATTTTATATATTATTAATTTTTATTATATTATCTTTTAATGACAGTTGTACGTGTAGCTGTACAATATATGACATCCTTCTTATTTTCAGACGCGGTTATACGTGAACGACACAATATGATGTTAGAGAAATTGAAGAAGTAATTAGCGCCGGCGTCTGATTTTTCCCGGGCACGTTAACTCGTGGAATAAGCCACAGATTTTTTTTCAGGCCAAAAGGCTCATTTCGCGTCATCTGCGACGTGCTCGAGCACACCGCACGGTCCTCACAATAAAAATGGCTTCGTGGAAAGTCTCCGGTCGCGGAACTCGGACAGCTACACACGAGTGGCAAGCCGTGTTCCTGGCGCGACACTTCATCTCCCGTCCTTTCTTCCCTCACGTACGAAACGATGAAAGCTCGCCCGGGATCTGACCCGTTCTAATTCGAGCTAACTCGGCAGCCAGCGCGTTTTCTTCTACATGCACCGCCAAGTGAAGACTAATCGAAGGACGAGTGGCTGCTCTCGAGATGAGCCACTCGCGCGAACGGTGGTCTCGATATTTGCTTCGAGAGTTTGAAGAGCATCCGCGTTTTTTTCAGCCATTTGCATTTGTTCTGCGCATGCTGATAATTTAATTCCGATAAACGGGAACGACAAGTTTTGAGCGTTTTGCTGTAATTATTAACGTCCAGGACAGGCGAGTCGGTAAAATTGAATCGGAGATACGATGGCAATCACACAAGTTTGGAAGGGCTTGATAATTCGAGTTACTGTCTTATCGGAATTAATTGATGGACTATTTTTCTCTTCGTTTTAATTCTCAACTTTTTACTTCAGTTACCTTATATAAGAAATGGCAGCGTGAAATAAATAGCATGTCACGGATACTTTGGCAAATTTGGTATAATATCAAAGTTTAACGTAAATTCAGATAATTATCTTTGCTTTTTTATAATTTGCAGAAATAAAATTTTAGATATTATGTATCTTTCAATTTAGATAAGTTAAGGCAAATTAAATTAAAGTTTTATAATTTCTTTTCTTATTTTAATTTTTGCTTCGGTAAGTTAAAAATGTTTATCTATTTGTATCAGATATATCGCGTATTGTGTACTATAAAGTTGTATAAATGTGACATTACTCACCAATTTCCAAGTATTTTTGATGCACTGGATCGTACTGTTCCCAGGACAAACTGCGAAACCGACTCTTTTCTCTACTAGCTGGTAAAAGAGTGTCGTTTCTCCCATGATGATCAATAATGTTCGGATTTCTGTCAATTCAAAACAATTTTTTATTAGCATTTTATTCTAGGCAGAATATATTTTAATAAAGTTGTGGTGTAATAATATATCTCTCTCTCTTTTTACTTTTTGTTTTATTATTGAGAAAGAGAAAGAGAAAAAAAGAGAATACAGAAAACTTCTTTATAAAATTGATACAAAAATAAAAATACAGAGTATCTCTTATGAGAAACTTCATTAAAACCATTTACCTTTAATTATAATACAATCTTATCTTAAATTTCTTTCGAAAATTAATAGAAAAGAGCAAAGAATATAAGATTAAACAGTTGTTAATAACCACGATTGATTTCTACTATAAATCTATATTTAAAAATTTCCTTATAAAATTAAATTAGAAGTTATTTCTCGTACAGTATTTAGATCAAAAAATCCTGACGAAAGCATCCTTTCGCGCCGATAGACAGGTGCAGAGGAATGCTTATTTGCTGAAAATCGAGAGAGCAAATTTCAGTGGAGGTGCAGGTGAATTCGAATCACGAGTATCGCATAATTCAGTATCGATGCCGGCACATGCAAAGTTTGCTAGTTTCCAAACTTGCGCATTCCCGTTGCACCGTGAGGTAAGACTTGCAGGTCATCCCTACCGCAGTCAGGGACCGCTATAATGGTCCACGAGCGGACCACGAGCTATTTTGGCCGGAAAACGGAAGTAGCACAGGGCTGATCCCTCGTTTGCATTAACGACAAACGGCAATGGACCCTCTTTGAGCAAGTATAGAGAAGAGGTAGATATAATACATAGGCGACGTTCACCGCCTTTATTCGCGTCGTTCGTTATCAGTTGTTCCTCCTGCATGGTTGCAAATTTGAGAGGAGTGTATCACAATTTTCTCCTCTCTCCTTCAATATTCGAGCTGTCAAATTATTACAATCTTTGCTCAATAATAGGATACGAAATAACAGATGTATCGAGATAAACAATCGGAAAAAGGCAACAGTAAACTTTGATACTTTTGAGTAACCGACTTTATATGTCTTTTAAGAGTGAATGGCTACGAAAAATTTATCATTTTTTATATTCTTGGCAATAATGGTTACGGCATAGTAGCGTATTCACCGGCGTGCGCCGGTGGAGAGCATTAATACCGTAAATTATAAATTTACGAGCGCGTGTGCGAGGAGATAAATACCAAAATCATGGATCTTCGATATCGCGATATTCGAGAGCGTATCGTTTGATTGGTCAAATTACACGGATAATTATGAGCAAAGTTGGTCGCATGCCAGATGTAAATCACGCGAGGTGAACGCATGGGAATGCGGGCTTTTCGCCGAAATGGAAATTTGCCGTATGAAATAAGGTTGTTATTTTAGTTACTGTAGCGATATCATCCGTCTCTCACATACACATGTGCAAGCTCGCTTGGAAAAACATTTTATTTCGTCGAAAAACAAACCGGTTGCCGAATTCCTGCCGTATATTAAAAGCAACTGAAAATTTTATGGATATAGCTGTTCTCTAGTGTCTCGCAAACGAATCGATATTTTTTACAATACATACTTGAATTTTTATTGGTTAAAGTAGCGATCTTCCCTAGATGACCTGATTTATATCGATACTGCAAACTGGATGTGTTAAACTACAATATTTTTTTATATTTTTACTTCAAATTTTATATTTTATATAAGCTTGTATTTTTTAGAAGGAAAATGTTTTGAAAAAAGAATATCTACATTTGATATATAATTGTTACTCTTTTGTTTATGCTCTTTATCTATTTTTTATTATATCTTGAATTATACTCTCTTTTATAGTTTTCAAATAATTCGTAAATATATATTTTTTAATCTCAATCATATTCCTTACTCAATATTAAAGGGATTTTAGTAAACTTCGGAAATTTATTCACTAACATTTATTTTATTAGCAAATAGCGATACATCACATTTTGCCAGTAATATGATTTATTTTATAACTATATTGATATATCTATTAATATATATAGAAACGAATGGATAATTATTATTCATTTGTGGTTAGCAATGAACAAATTGATTATTAATTTATTTGCATAATTTACGTATATAATCACGGTTATATAAAATAACGTATTAGTGATCTACATATATTATATAGAAAGAAAACAGATGATTAATATGATTGCCTGTCGTCTAGAAATAAGAAAAGTTATTTTCTCATAAAATTTTTTGATTTTATAGATTTCTTTGATATAATTTAGTTAAACTTTCCTTTTCATGAATGTAAAGATGCGCATTTCTTTCCAAAGATTACACTGTTCTTACAACTCGGTAAATGGAAGGAAAGACTATATCTCGATGAAGAAATCGCTGTCTGTCCAATTAATGATAACAACTGCGAATCAGCCGAGCGAAAATCTCTCTCGAGTATTTGCAGAGCGATGTACTACGAGTTTCTTCGTCGGGATGAGATACTTCTTTTTTCAGTACGATTAAGACCAATTATTTATTATAGGTTTCCGTTCCCTCATTACGCTTGCAAAGCGGAATCGTCACAAACGAGATTTCAAATCACTTACGATAATAAAGGACTAATAAAAGCTATCACGCTTGACGATGTGTAATTAATTAACATATTCCGGAAATCAATCTGGAAATTTTCCGTTTCTATCATTCCTGTCGTTTCTCTTTGTCGAGATTTAAAGAAAGTCGGACTCTACTTAAGTCAAAGTACTAAACCGTATTGTATTATTTCGTAAAACGAAAAATCGCGCTTGCAAGAGAGTTGATACAATTAAGAGAGCATTAAAGCAATAAGTATTTATAAATTACGAGAAAAGAATTTAGAGCACGTGTCTTTACAATGTGATAATATGTTGGATAAAAAGAAAAAAAAAAGAATATGAAAATGGAAAATTTGATTATGTATTGTTGGTATATGATGCTCTGTGTGATGACGTGTTTGCAATCGTCTGCCGCGAGTGTGCTCGTGATGAAATATGCCGAGACGGTCGGATAACGTACAACTATATATGTAGATTGCGCAACAACGGAGATAACAATAATCTATAATGCACAACCCCTTCGCAGAGAGCGTGCATCTCGTGTTGCCAGCGGAGCTTGACGAGACATTATAAACCGCCCCGATAATAAATGCCCGGAGCAATTTTCTCACGTGTATCGCAATTCAACACTTGCAAAACAATTTGTTTCCAGATATAAAATTTTAAAAAATTGTCAAAAGAATATTGATTTTATATATAAAATTGAAATTGTGTCTGAACTCTATTAATAACGACATATTCTGACATTTATTCAAGTTGATCCAATATTGTCACAATTTGCTCCGGCTTCCGTCTTTTTTTTTATAATCGAGCAAGTTTTCCGAACATATATTCTAAACAATATTTTTAAAAAAACTTTCACGTTAATTAAAAAAATGTTTACTTAACAAAAATATTAAATATGAATTTTTAAATCAAAAAGAGAAAGAGAGGAAGAGAGAGAAAAATTTGACAGTCAAGTTTTATAATATCGGTTACATCTGCCATGAGTATATTCGAGTTAAAGTAAATATGTATCACGCTTTCAATTTACACGATCGGAAACTATTATTTTTCATTGCAAACAATTCTTGACGAAAAATATTACGACGCTGTCGTCGTCCTTCGATTTTTCTTGTTTCAAGTCGTGATGATTTATGACGTTATAGTCTGTACAGAGTTTGCTATCCTGCTCGTATAAATTCAATGAATTATGTAATGCCGTTTCTCTGAAAATGCATCGTCGACGATACATAAATTATGAGCCGCGACCATTGTACTGGCGCATAAAATATGCGCGGTATTACTGACGTATTACCGTAAAGGGATCTCTATCAGTTAATATATCATTATAATTTTAATTAAATTATCTTCAAAGTACGCATTAACATTCAACTCGCGAGTTAACAATTAATTGATTTATCCGACCTGATCCTCAATGCGAGCTATAGAGAGAATGCGATATTTCAATATTTCATTTGTATTTCTTAAGCAAACGATCGTCACAAAGTTGAAAGTGAATATAATTAATTTGATAAACTGCATAAACCAAAATAGCAAAGTATGTGAATCTTTAAAAAAAAAATTTTCTTTATATATTTTCCGTTTCGATGAATCGTATAATCTTTTACAACGTGCAAAAAAAAAAAAAATAAACAAACAACTCAATTACGTAAACAAGAGCATAATTGTACACACTTTCCTTTGAAAAAGAAAGATTTTAAACTTAATTTTTATTATAGGGTTCTCTTTTTATTTAAGTCTATAACTAGCATGTTACTTTTATCGTGCATCTACAACAAGCTGTTCCGTTTGAATGATGAAAGACGCCAGACACAACAGCTGGTTATGCCGATGAAGCCAATTACGAGCATCAGTATGTGGTCATGTATGGACCTATAGACAATCTCACCGCTCGGGAGATCGATCACTAATGGGCGCGACTGCAAGTTAGCATGCATCATCGGCGATTTAAGTGAAACCGGCTCCGATCAATGGCACACTCCCTCTCTGTCTATCAATTTGAAGCTCGATTTCGCTTTAATCCCCTTATGTAAAGTCGCTTGGAAAAATGCCGACTAACATCGGGGATCTATGCTAGCTCAGTGGACCTTGATATCACACCTGGCCGAGCCGACATTCACCACAAGCTCCCTGACCTGTCTATGTGTAAATTATAACGCATACAATATAAAGTGGAGGTACAGAACACATATACGGAAAAGAACGTTGAATAAAATGTGAAAAGAAAATATGCGAGATACGCGGGGAATCTAGAAATCTAGTACATTTCTGCTAAAGAAATATTCTTCTGATATAAAAATGATAAAATAAGAATTTCCTTTTAGCATAAAAAAATTAAGAATTAAAAAAAGAAATTTTTTAATATAAAAGAATCGATAACAATTATTTAGAGACGTATCATTTTTCAATTAATTACAGAATTATTTAAATAGAGTGTGTAACTTTGAAGAATAATGCTAACGTCAAAGACATTTAAAAAT